GTAGGTATGTGGGGGCGTGTTAGAACGAGCCATTTTAGGTAGGCGTGGTTGACTCTTAAATTTTATAAAGAATATCTCTTTGGATTTGAGACTTTAGTCTTTGCAACTTTACAGATTTTCTTTATGCACCAAGAGCTTGTAACACTTCAAAGAGAAAGGAAAAATTGAAATGGCATCGTATGACCCCTTTAAGGTATTTTTGATGAAATCCGAGAGCTTTCTGACCCTGCATAGACAGCAACACAACTGAAACGTTTTATGGCCCAGAAAGATAGTAAGGACATTGTCGTGTGCATTCCTCTGCTTGTAAACAAGTCTCAGCGCATGCGTGTTCTATGTCAGAACGCCGGCTCCTGCGTCAGCGGCATCATCACACACATGCATCATGGCACTCTCATGAATGGCAGCGGAGACTGATCATAAAACGAGAAGAAGGTTTTTTTTTTTTTTTTCTTTCTTTCTTTTGCACACAAAAAGTATTCTCTTAGCTTCATAACAAATGAAGTGTGTAGCTGTCTATGGAGGGACAGAAAGCTGTCGGATTTCATCGAAAATATCTTAATTTGTGTTCCGAAGATGAACGAAGGTTTTACGGGTTTGGAACGACATGAGGGTGAGTAATCAATGACAGAATTTTCATTTTTGTGTGAACTAACCCTTTAAATACACATGCCTCATTTTCTCTGTCTCTTTTGCACTTTCAGATGAGCTGACCCCAAATGATGCACCAGAATTTGTATATTACATGAACGATGGTGTTTATGGATCTTTCATGGGGAAGTTGTTTGGAAATGTCATCACCACACCCTCTGTCCACAAGGTAAATAACACACATGTACCTGAACACATGAACAATATTTGCATCAGTTGCCCAAGATTTTAAGCTCATTGATTTGTGTTTTTCAGATGTCGCTCACCCTAGATGAGCCCGTGTTCTCCAGCAGCCTGTGGGGTCCATCGTGTGACCCACTGGAGCAGGTGGTGGAGCACTGCCTGCTCCCTGAGCTCGCTGTTGGGGACTGGCTCATTTTCAGCAACATGGGGTCCAGCGGTCAGGAGGGTCCGGCAACGCTCAGCGACACAGACCAACCACCTGTGTATTACACCATCTCCACAGATGACTGGTAATTAAGATCACCTTGCATTTGACCTTTTGTGCTTGTCACAGATTGACAAGGCCTTCCTTTTTTCATTTCACTCATTCCAAAGAGTGATGGTGTAATTTAAAAGGTTGTTTAATCGTTGCGTTGGTTGCGTGGTCATTTTATGTTCTGGATTCAGTCTTTTTATCAGCTCCTATTTGGAACTGATTGGTCGTAGGCCTCATTGATCTGAGCTTATGCGCCTCAGTTTTTGAGTGAACATTGCCAAAATTATCAACACGAAAGGTTGCATATACTTAGATCAATACAAAGCCTGTAAAAAGAAAACAAGTTGACAGAAAGATGGAATCCAAGATTTGGTGATAATATAGCATAATGAGAGCTTTACAAGCATTTTTTAAACGGACAGTAATTTTTGACTGGAAAAGCCAAATTAGGTAAAGGATTTTCAGCACAGCACAGGGGTTAAAGTTAATATCATGCTGTTTTTCCCTTTTCCCCCAGGTTTGAGATGCAAGAGGCTGGAATTTCTCTTGATGACACCATGAAAAACCTCTCATTGGTCCAGTATGGCTTATGAAAAGAGACAAACTCCGTCCACTAACCACTGGGCATGTGAATAGCTTGCAGAGTCAACATTCCAACAGTCATGGGTGGAAAAATTATATTTGTTTTGGTGGGGGAGAAAAAAATGACGATGTTATTGGTCAAAAACTAATTGATTGACATTGTTACCTCAGTTTCTCACAATTTACAAAAGGCTCACTTTCCTTATCACTCAAAAAGAATGACCGAAAACCCATATAAAATAACATATGCAACAAAATGGATGACTGGAGATGGCACCCAAATCTTGGGTTTCTTAATCAAACACCGTTTACATAAATGTTCAGCTAATTTAATTTTATTATGTACACATATATAGATATAGATGACCTACTGACAGTCTTGTAAATGAGTTGTCTGTACAGTACAACAAGATGCATTTGTCTCGAATCAGGATGGAGTATAGATTCTGCACAAATAGGCCATGACTCTTAGTGTGTGAACAAGGGAAAATTCTGTCCTTGTTCTCTCGTTCTAATTTTCCATGGTTTTATAGGAGTAGGGAGCTTCTCGTTGCTCCTCATGCCAAACTTATGGTTCCCTCATTACATGTGGTGCGTCATGTGACAGTATTTCCAAAGGTTGTTATATATTTCATCTCTATGGTTGAGTGTGCTGTAATTTGCAGTGTCCCTTCAGAAGATTTTGAACCTTCTGTCAGGTTATGAGTAGATATAAATTGGTCTCATGTTTCCTCTAATGGTATGTTTTATAAAACTAGAAAGACTGCCCAGTGTTATGAATCTGCTGACAACCTGCTTAGAGATTACATTTACCTCAAGTAACCTAAAATACAAGTTTCACCACAATCAGATTAAATCCTTTAAGGCACTAGTCCTCAATCTAAAATTGAACATTCAAATGGTGTATATTTCAAATTCATGTGTGTCTAGCATGGTGTCTAAGTTTGATTATAACAGCGCACTGTTTTATAAAATCACGTCCTTTAGAAATGAAATATACCTTTTGTCCACTAATGGACCATTGCCTGTTTTTGACTGTAAAATTGTGCTTGTAAAAGTAATTAAAATATTAATTTAATACATTTCTGACCAAATACGATCGAGTCGTTTTTGTGTCTCAGTGTTTTTTTTTTTATGTAGACCCTTGAAACCTTAGTACAATAGCCCCTTTGTGAATGAATAAATTCAACTACAATACCCAAAGCAACACTGACATTACATATATTTTATTTTTGTATTGAACCTGCTGACGGGTGGTTTTATATTGTAATTTCAGCTTTACGTAAGACGAGAAGCAAAGGGGTTAATTTCTATAGAGATGAAGAGTGGAGGAGGAGCTATGAGCGTGTTTGTAAGTTACACCGCTCAATGACAGACGACGATGGCAGCTTTACCACTGCTGACCAAAGACGATTAACCATGAACGCCAGTGTAAGCAACCCTCCGACGAGCATTATGGAATATCAGGTAATATTAAACTTATTCTACAGCATTTTAGTGCGATTTCGCGGCCTTCAAATAAATGTTGAATCTGCCTGCCTGGTTATGTGTGCGGCTGTGAGCTTTCATAACAAAGAGCCTCGCACATTAGGTAAAGTAACCTTAAGAGTTAAATAAAACGAAATATAGCATTGATGATATGAAACAAATCTAAAGTATTGTATAATAATAATAATGACAGTGTCAGTAAAAAGGGTGTTTATTTATTTATTTAGTCATTTATTAGACGCTTTTATCCAAAGCGACTTACAAATGAGGATATGTTATGTGTTGTGGATAGCGACAACAACATTTGGATTAGATATAAAAAGTTGTAACATTAAGGTCTGGATTAAGTGAATTAAAGACTAATTTGGATATTTATTTTCTAAGTTAAATGTAAATATAATTGAGGATTGCGGTGTTGTTGTTAAAAACCTTCCATTTAACTATCTCGTAAGCAGATTCGTCATCAGTTTGTCTCGCAGCATCTGTTCCCCTGGAGCTCTCATAATGAATGATGTAGGAAGACAATATAGTTAAAACGCCTTTAAAAACACTCATTCCTCTATTTAACAGTTATGTTTCTCTTGCAGAATGGTCACAAGGATGTTGACACAAACAGTGTTGAAGACGAACCCCTTCTCAAAGAAAACCCAAAGCGATTTGTCATTTTTCCTATTCAGTATTCTGACATCTGGAAAATGTACAAACAAGCTCAGGCTTCATTCTGGACAGTTGAGGAGGTGAATATTATTTTTTATGTATCAATTTAATATCAGGATTATCATTTTGGTTGCTCTGAAAATTAAAAAACTTGGATGTATTGTAATAGCCGTTGTACTTACAAAACAATGACAACGTGCGACCACCATATGCCAGGACACTGGTGGTATTAATCGGATAATTCACACCAAAATTCGTTAAACATTTAAAGGCCAGTTCAACGATAGCTATAACTATATAACTATAAAGCTGTAATAATTGTTCTCATTCTGTAAGAACAGCGCAGTCCACTCCACAGAGGAATGATATCGTTCAAATAGATTTGTTTTCCAGCTGATAACGATAAAAACATTCAATCAATAAAACAGACAATCAGAATCGACCAGGCAAAGGGCTTACTTGCGTATTTAAATCGGCAGAGAAAATAACTGCAGCATGTGCTTATTATAAGCACAACGTTGTGTGTGTTGGTGACGACGCTAACACGGCTATTGTTATGGTTATTAATTTTATTGCATTCTAGTTCTTGTAATGTGAGAATAGGGAAGTACACGCCACAATTACAACGAAAAACACAGAGGAACGATATCGTTGAAATGGCTTTCTGAATGATTTTTTTTCCCTGCTGATGAACCGTAAAACATTGACAGCCAATCAAAATCAAGCAGGACATGCATCAAATGCTTATGACAAACAGTTTATCTTCTATTGCTTATATAGTTATTGTTGTAGTTATCGTTCTTGTTGTAAACTGGGCCTTTGCTCACCCTCACTTTATTCCTGTTGATTAAAGTAAGAAACCCACATTTGAAATAAGCTGAGGGTGAATTTTCATTTTTAATGAACTAGTCCTATAAGAACGTTTAATTAAAATTACTATTCGTGCTTGTCACTGGTGAATGTGAAGCTGCTTATTAGTAGCATTTGCAGCAGTGGAAGGCATCTTCTTCTCTGGATCATTTGCTGCCATCTACTGGTTGAAGAAAAGAGGCCTGATGCCCGGACTCACCTACTCCAATGAACTCATCAGCAGAGATGAGGTTAAAACTTAAAGATGTTTATATCTTTATGATGTTTAGATCATGTTTTGATCAAGGTTTGTTATCTGTATCCCTGATAAAAAAATAGAGAGATAATAAGAAATCCCAGTGAAAATCTAATCAAGGCTAGTATTGATTGTGCCATCTGAAACTTCACAGGGTCTGCACTGTAATTTCGCATGTCTAATGTACAGCTATTTGGTGAAAAAACCTTCTGCTGACCGAGTGAAAGACATCATCACAAAAGCTGTGACCATTGAACAGGTTCGTACACTTTGCTGTACTCGAGTAATGCAGAATGCATGATTTCAGACATGAATGTAATTGCATTTGTATTTGCTTGTTTTTCTGTAGGAGTTTCTCACGGAAGCCTTACCTGTCAATTTGATCGGGATGAACTGCTCTCTCATGAAGCAATACATTGAGTTTGTGGCTGACCGGCTGCTAACAGACTTAGGATTGCCCAAAGTCAGTATTTTATCGGGATCGTGTTATGATTTTTGTCTGATAATCTTTATATTTATATAACAGTGCTTTTTAAATTCTGTCTCAAAAGGTTTACAAGTCAGAAAACCCCTTCGACTTCATGGAGTCCATTTCATTGGAGGGAAAAACAAATTTCTTTGAGAAGCGAGTGGCTGAATACCAGCGACTTGGAGTGATGTCAAATGTGATGGACTGTGAATTCACTCTTGATGCAGATTTCTAACGATGAACTACAAGAAATATTATTTATTAATTTTTTTGGACAGTTTCAGTAAAAACAAACAAAAAACAAACAAACAAGCCATATCATCTTCAGACCATGTCGAAAAGACATGGAAATCAAGTTGATCAGTTTCTGAATAACGTGGTAACGAATTTGTCAAAGGGCTCACCAAAGTGGACGTGTGGCTTTAGCGTATTCAGACCAGACTTGGTGTGTGTTATGACAACCATTATCTGAGGTTACATGCACAGTTTCAGCACACTGCCACCAGTGGTCAGGAGATATGAAAAATTGCTATTTTTGCTTATAACTTCTTACTGGTTTGGCCAAAAATCACAAGACTCTGGTCTCTTAAATTTGGAGCAGCATGCCAAGTCGAGTGGTATCCAGTTTTCCCATGTCGACCATTTTGGGCATTGACCACTTTGTATTTTGACAAAAAAAAAGCTATTTTTTACGAATGCATTGGTGTATTGTTCTGAAACTTGGTATGTGTCTTCGGCACAAACTCTAAATATTTTATGCCAGCGCCACCTTGTGGTCAAAACTTAATGAAATAAAATAAAATAAAAAAAACGCTAATAACTTTTGATTAATTTAGCCTCTGGTCATAAGACTGGTCTTGTTAGATTCCTTGGATTATGCTGAGAGTATCGATACCAATTATGCCATAATCAGCTGAACTTCCTGTCCACCATTTTGATTTACGTTGAAAACCTACTTTTTCAAACTCCGCCTAGACCATTGTTCCAATTTTCACCAAATTCGACCCAAATCATCTTTAGACCATGCTGTCAAAAGATTATGGATTTCGTGTTGATAGGCATAACAGTTTTCATTTACTGCATTAACAAATTTGATGGCATAATGCCAAACTGCATCTGAGGCTGTATCTCTTCATAGCTTGGACATACTGACACCAAACTTTGTGTGTCTGTCAAGATCACCAGTCACCATGCCTGTCACCACTGCGCACTACATCTCCCACAATCCTCCCTGGTTACCACCTGCACTCACTTCACAATCACAACACCTGTTTGCCATCACTCTCATAACAGTCTCATACATAAGCTAGCACCACGCACACAGAGATTGTCTGGTCTCGTGTTTATCTAGGACTGCTGTGTGTTTTATGACTTCAATTAGGACTGCATGGACTGTTACGCTTCCTTATCGGTGTGATCTTCCGGTCCTCCATTCATCAATTTTCCTTCCTTCTTGGATCCTTGTTTCCTCCAGATTGTCTGGTTACTACCTGTAAAGATAATAGACATTGTTATTATCCGTGCAGTGCAACAGTGATTTTAAAGGTGTGTGGTGCTACTTACCTCTCTGGACTTCATCATTCTTCATCTGCTCTGGTTGTTATATTGTATGTTCCTTCATTACTAGTAGTCACTTGCTTGTTAAATTCACTTTTACGCACCTGCGCTATCGAGTCTGTGTTCCCTGACAGTGTCATTGTCACCTCACAGTGACCACACCACATACATTTGGTAATAGCGCCACTTATTGGTCAAAATTGATAAACCATTAAATTATGTTACTAATCAGGGTTTCGGAACCGTTTAAATTTTTCGCAATTGATTAATTAGTTATACTGGATCTCAGTTATATATGTGATGCTTTGAGTTCCGTAAATAATTCTCATAAGTGTATACAGTGCTGTCCTTAGACGCGAGGCCCGGTGTGAGGTAGGGAGTGGGGTCCCCCTCGGTCCGTTCGCTGCGGGGCCTGGTGCGGCCGCACCAGTTGCACCCCCATGAGGATGGCCCCCTGAATGTATATTTCCTTCGAATATAGCCTAGTCTACTCTTGACAGTTTTTTTTCTGAACTGAATCAGCGTAGTCCTGCATGAATGACTCTAGAATTTTTTTTTTTTTTTTTTTTTGTGAATCAAAAACATTTATGATGAATCGATCGGAAAAAAAACAGAAATGTTATTCTGTAGCTATGGCTAGTGAGACTTAAATCAGAGTCGTTGCTGATTTTATGACAAACCCAGACATAATAAAAGGATTAGTTACTAGCCTAAATGTTTTTGTTTAGTGATTTTATTTAAAATGCAGTCAGAACCAATTACTGAAGCAATTTCTGGTGGATTAAAACTGAATTAATTTGGCAATAGACTAAGGTTATTTAAATGCAATAAGAATTTAATTTATTTTTTGAAAATATTTCTTACTCAAAAGAAGCCTATCAGTAGTGGAACTGTGAAAGAATTAATTGATGTTTTTTTTCACAAAAAAGGGTAAACGCAAGCCCTTATAAACAAATAAAATAAACCAAAATACAATTATGAATATGACAAAAAAAAATGAAGTAATTAATAAATAAACGGAAACAAGCTAAGGAAAGCAAACTAATCAATAGAATCTCCAAAAGAAATCTCATATTGTTTCAAGAATCTGTCACATTTGTATTGCTATTTAAAAAAAAAAGAGAAGTCAGAAATCTGCCTCAATCAAAAAAGAAAACAAAAGTGAGACAGTAGGACGTGAGCCCGGAAGCTTTTTTATTTATAGATAAAAATGATCAAACAGACTAAAAAATTGAGGATATATCCTTAGACTTCTTTCCTCCTTTTGATGTCCAAAAATGCTGTGCCCTCCTAAGACGCACAAAAGTGTTGTCTAGGTAGTCAGATCGATATGTTTTGAGACACAGCCATCATGTAAAAGGCGAGAAATATAAAAGCCACTCCCTCCTGCCGTTCACTCCATTCACTCTCTCCCCGCTGCCAGCAGCAGCTCAACTCTCCCTCTCTGCGTGCGGTTCTTGTCCGCCTGCTTAAAATGGACCAGGACTGGCGAGCTTTGGCCACACAGCGAGCCGAATACGTGTCCGACCGTATCCGCGGGCTGCTGTCCTCCGGTCTGGACTTCCTCCGGCTCGAGCTGGGGGTTGATTTGGGGATAAAGCCGGAGCAGTATCCGTCGTGGCTGATTCTGAGCGCGGCGCTGATCGGGCTGACTGTGCTGGTGCTGCTCGCGGCCTGTGGACGGAGGAAGCGCCGAGCGGCACCCGTTTCTGTTTCTGTGAGCCCCAGCACCGCCGCTGCCGAGACCCCGGTTAAGGCCACCCTGCCACCGAAGACTGTGAAGACTGAGCCGAGCGAACCGAAAAAGAAGAACAAAAAGAAAGCAGCCGAGAAGGTAAGCGGCCTGTGATGGTGATCTCCTGCTAATGGCTGTGATTCAAAACTAAGTCAGCTGTCTTCCTACACAGCCTTTTTGGACATTTATGTAATACCCAAAAATGAGATCTAGGTAAGCAGCTTACTAGGTTTTGAGTTACATTGTCTTTCTATAAATCATATTCAACTGACTTGAGTTTGATAGAGATTTGCAAGAGTAACGTTAGCTGCTAACGTGCTAACCTGTCACAACCTCTTAAGTATCAGCTATTCATATAGAAAGCCTTTAACGTTACCTATCAAAACTATTTAATTCTATATCGCTTATCGTCAACTTTAGGATTAAAATGAACAAATCTGACGTTGTTATTTGATTACGAGTATAGTAATAATACAGACACGAGGACTACAGGAGAGCCACGTAGCACAGACTCTAGCAGACCGCTTAACTCAACACAAGTTTCGTTTTGGCTAAACGCCACCTTTTGTGAGTCTACACTTTAAAGGATCCGCCGTAGTGACAGTTTTCGTGGCCTAAGGGGAGTTTTTAAGTACTGTCAGTTGATAGAGGAAGGAAATGTGGAGTTTGTGGTTGTTGGTAACCGTCATGTTCCCGCAGCAGAAGGCCCAGGCGAATGGACAGACAGTGGCTGAACCTCAGGAGGAAATCAAAGTCATCGAGGAGAAAAAAAAGAAACCTCCTCCTGCAGCAGCGCCTGCGCCTGCACAGCCACCTGCTGATACAAAGGTGGGTCCACCTAGTACTCATGCTGGTTTCGTTGAGGAAGTGTGTTTATGTTTATATATTTATAGTAACAATAACTAGTAACTAAGGCATTTTTTGGCAGCTGTGGTGCATTTTAGTAAGAGTGGTTTGCTTTTCTGAAGAGCAGAGCAGTTTGGAGATTTTTGGAGATTTGGGATTTTTTGCTAACAACATCGAACATAAGTATGCAATGATTTGACTGGAAAAGTTATACCTCTGAGTTGAATGTGTGTCGTAATAATAACAAACACTCAACTCAGAAACATGGAAGTGGCATAAAGAAAGCAAAAGAATCATATTGCGAACAAAAAATTTTGTTTTTCAAAATTCAAATTCAATTCTGAATTCAAAATGATGAAAAATACTCATTTCTATCACTTATTTACACATGATATCACAACTGAATGTGAAGCAAACCTTTAAAGTTGAGTGACTAAAGGCCTGTTCACACCAAGAACGATAGTTGCAATGAAAACTATATTATTCTACACCAACAGATGATAACTTTGTTTATTATAAGCACATGCTGCAGTTATGTTGTCTTCTGATATATTCTGAAATAATTGCTCTTTAAACTTGGGTGAATTTGGCTGTCGACTGGCTGTTGGATGTTTTTATCATTCATCAGCTGGAAAATTGTACTGAAAGTAATATTTGTCTTAAATTCTTCACTTTTGGAATCAGTGTTGTAACTCAAACTTAATGATAAAACACTTACAAAAGCAAATGAAATGCATTTGTTTACCTACATGTCATGTGACCATCAGAGAACCGTGAACATGCAAATCTGTTGTTAAACTATTAAAAATTCATTTGGGCTTCTCATGGGTTACTTGTGTATATTTGCAAGTGAAATTAGTCAAATGGATTCAGCAGACAAAAAGTACGCCATAGACTTGCTTTCCGCTCACTGATCTCCATAATATAGATTATAAATATATTACGGTATTATTTATGGATGTTTCAGGGTGCTTTCACACTTGGTTCGTTTGCCTGGTCCGAACCCGAGTTCGATTGCTCCCTCCTCCCCCTGTCCCTGCTGGTTTGTGTTCATACTGTGTTTTTTTTGGTTTCGAGCTGCGGTACGTTTGCGTCATCAGAGTGGCAGCTATTTACCCCGTTACTAGGTAATGACTATGCAGCAGACAGCAAAATGAATGGATGCTTTCTTGTTTCATTTTTGTACTTCGGATTTTGAAAATTGATTCATTTCCAAAGCGCCAACGCAGAAATGAGATATAAATTCTCTCTGCTTCAGTGTGTCAGTCACGCTTTTCAGGAAAGTCTGTGAGTAAACGCATAAATACACAGTTTGAACAAGTCATAGGTCATTAATAGTGGTTCACTTCTGTGTTTTAGTACGATTGCGTTCACATCAGAAGCGAACTGTACCGGAGTTCGCATGAACCATACCCTAGACCACCCTTTTTAGGCGGACCCAGGTGCGCACCTGGGTTCAGAAAACAGCGCTGCATCATCCAAACGAACCGAACTCTGGTGTCAAACGAACCCAGGTGCGCACCGGAAATGCTAGTGTGAAATCCCCCTCTACATGCCCTTTCCAAAGTCGCAGCTCAGGTGTCATCTGGAATCAGTTTCCCTCTTGTAAATATGACTTTGCTTGGTCATTCAGTGCTCGGAATCCATAATTATGATATTTCTGACTCCACTTGTAGGGCACATTAAAATTACTTGGATAGACAGGCTTGGAATGTACATTTGACTCTTTTGCACAGTAGTGCTATGAAGGTTTGAATCAGCCTTGGTTCAGTCTCTAAACAGTGATTGAGGGAGGTCGGGTGTCAGTATCGGCCTGTAATTTGATAATGCAGATACGGCAAATGTAGGGTACATCCAAAGGGGAAACTATGTACTTTGTCCCAAGGCCTCAAACTTTAGGCATATTTTTTACAAGGCTGAATAAGTATGTTTAGATATCTTTCTTACTGTCTGCAGTGGCACTTTGTTCTTGTAGTAAGTGTGAGAGTAAGAAAGATACTTCGTTTGATAAGATGCGCGTTAAACATCGCATGCGATTTATCGTGCAGCCCTATCAGGAAGTTCTAAATGAGTATTTTTGGCTCCTACGTAGACCAAGAAAAACAAGAAGAAACCAAAACCAGAGGTGAAGCCAAAACAAGATGTTTCCTCCATGGATGGCAAGGAACCTGATGAAGGTATGAAACTGGGTTACCAAACGGTAGTGGCAACTTCACATTTTCAGTGTGAAGGCTGTTTATTAGTAATGAGACTCGGTGGTTGAAATGCAAAACATCAGAAATTCATATGAGCTGCTTGTACGAGATGCACTTTCAGTATGACTGTGTTTAGCAGGTGCTTGGGAAACCAAGGTCAGTAATCGAGAAAAACGTCAGCAGCGCAAAAAAGAGAAGGGCCCTGGTGACAGCTCTGGGAGCCCTGTAGGTGGAGATCGTGCCAGCCATAAGGTAGAGCAACCTGCGGTTACAGTCCCAGCTGGCACCAAAAAGAACAAAGGTATGCATTTCCTATACTGAGTACTTTCTTT